GCCCCATAGCTGGCCAATGAGAAAGGGAACTGGAATCAAGCAAGATGGGACCATTGATAGCAACAGTCTATTACAGGGTTCGTTCCCTTTTCTTTCTAGTAGAAATCTGACCCAAAGATTAAGACAGCAAAGGACATACAGAACATACAGAGAGGTTTCAAGCCTTTTCATTGCTTTCAGCGGAAGTGAAGAGGAAGTATTTTCAGCAAAAGCAGTCTCAATCCTTGAATAATAACCTGAGCAATCATTGACATCATAACCTACGTGACAGATGTGATCTACAACAAAGCTAGTGGAGACAAATAATGTAGTACCCCACTATGCAACCTTTCAAATTATGTCAAGTAAGAAAATCTAAAGCTACAGGGTTTATTTAGGTTTTTCCTTGGTAGCAAGCTTTTTAATTTAATTTTATTTTTGGTACCAGGGATTGAACCCAGGGGTGCTTAACCACTGACCCACATCCCCAGCCCCTTTTATTTTTATTTAGCAATAGGGTCTCCCTAGGTTGCTTAGGGCCTTGCTAAATTCCTGAGGCTCTCTTTGAACTCATAATCCTCCTGCCTCAGCCTCCCAGGTCACTGGAATTACAGACGTATACCACCATGCCTGGCTCCCAGAGTATTTCTTTATAATTTGTGTTGATATTGGAATCACTTACTTTAAAATTTTTTTTTATTTGTAGTTGGACACAATACTTTTATTTTATTTATTTATTTTTACATGGTGCTGAGACTTGAACCCAGAGCCTCGGCTCTATCTTTGAGCCACAACCCCAACCCTGGGAGCCACTTACTTTTATGTAAATAATATGTTGATATATTTTGAATGATATTCACTGGTGTAAAAGTATGTGAAATGTGATTTTTGGCAGTTGTTTTTGTCTCTGGCAACACTGTGTTGCCTGTTGTCATTCTAATGTATTGCATCTTTATTTTCTTAATTAATTAATTTGGTTTAGGAGATTGCCCCCACAGGCACTTTACCAATGAACTACATCTCTAGTTTTTTAGTTTTTCTTTTTTTCCCCATTTTGAGATAGGGTCTCCCTATGTTGCTTTGCTCCTGTCCCAGAGGCTGTGATTCTGACTGTCAGGGAGAATAGAGGGCTTTTAAAGAGGTAATGGCTACATTCTAGATATTCTCTGTTGATGCGTAATTAACTTGTTAATATGGGAGTGTCATTTCTTAGATCTTCTGGTACCATCCCTGAAGCCTGAATTACTTAGTTTTTGTGGTTGATGTGTGCTTAAGGACAGATGGCCCTGCCCAGGATAGGGAAGAAAGGTAATCCTGTTTCCCCTGAGATTAGGGATGTGGAGAGAGAGAGGAAGAGAGAGAAACTGTCTGTTTTGAAAATAATTTACAGTAACAGCAGCAAGACCTATATTCAAAGCATAAAGTGAACCATTATTACACATTTAGAGGTTATAAGTCTGTTTTCTCTGTAGCTATTTTCTGGACAACATTCTGATTTTGGCATGCATGGAGTTACTGTAGTCAACCTGTAATTTCTATGTAAATAAAATCTTTTTAAGGTCAGGCTTAGAGAAGGACACATTTAGGTACTATCCTGGAGAAAGTTTATGAATTTGACAGCTTCTTTCTGATCCCTGAATAACTTTGATATGTTTAACCTGAGTTCATGTTCTCTTTGTGACTCTGGACATAGAGTATTGCTGCCACAGAACTCTATAGTTTCTTTACCTATTTAATCTCTTATTGGCACCTTTATTTTCTTGGCTGAAAATAGGTAGGTTAGAAGGAGGAGTAGAAAGGCCTTGACCATGAAGTCAGCTGTCTCTGTTCCAGTGAGGCCTGTCCTGGCCTGCCCTAGGCACCCCTCCTTCTTGAGAACAGGGTTGTCTGCATGGGACACTGAGTTTGGAATCCCCTGAGCACACCTGTGGCCCCATTTCCAGGAGGAACAAGAAGGGCCCACTGAAGAAGCAGCCAGAGCCGCGTGGAAAGCCAGGAGCAAGTTGTGCTTCTGTGCACCGTCTTGGGGCAGCTGCTGGTCGCGGCCTGGGAGAAGTGTGGCCTGGGGAGAGCTCTGGTTGGAGCTCACAGACGTTCCAGGCAGAGAGGGAACGGGATCGCGCCTCGGTTCAGGCGGCGCGCTCGGGCCGGGTCTTTGACTGACAGTCAACTTCGGGGGCGGGGCGGGGCTGCAGAGCGGTCCAATCAGGAGCGCCGGCGGGAGGCGGGTCCGCTCCGAACCGCGGGACCTTCCGTTCTGGCTCCGCCATCTTTGAGACTCTGTGGGCTCCCGAGGTTGCTCTTCCTGTTTGGCCTTGTGACCTCCTTTGACTTCGGCAGCCGTGAGGTGGACAGCAGGACACCCAGAAGCAGGGAGATGGTGAGTGTGCGGGGCCCAGGCGTCCCGGACGTGGGCACAGGGCCTGGCTCTGACGGGGGCCCAGCGAAACCCGCTCCGCTCCGTAGGT